AAATTTTCAAATTGTGAGTATGTCAAATAATTAAATTCGGATGCAAAAATCTTATTTGGCCTAACTGAAAAAGAACCTTAAAAATTATTGCTTTTGACAGTCGCACGGTGATGTTTAGGGAAAAGACAAAAATGGTAATAAAATAAAGTTGTGTAGCTTAGGTTTTAAATAGGTTTTATTACTAAATAATTAAAAAAAATCAAATTAAAAATTTACTTGTACCGTTATACCTACGTATATATAACGTATATTATATATATAATAACAAATTATAATACATTTTGTACTATATCATTACAAATTACTCCATATTACAAGTTTATTTATATTTACATTTCTAAAATTACCATTTATCGTTTTCAATGTGTAATATATTCTAACTCTTAAATATAATCTAACTACAAATTCTTTGGGGAAATATTTACAGGGATGGTTAAAAGCTAAATGGTTACTTATATCTAAAAGCATTTGGCAAATATTCCTTTTAGTAGCAAATTTTTCAAAGTTTTCTTGAAATATTTGTTCTATTTTACAAATTAATTCCACAAATTTATTATTAGGCATTTGCAAATTTCCGAAGGTGTCCTTATTTGCATTTTCATATGCCTTAAGGAAACAGTAATAAGATGAATCATCTAGTTCATCATGGTCTTTACTATATTTATTGCATATATCACAAGTGTGAACTCTTAAAGCTTTATTTAAAAGGTACCCACACACGTACCGTATGAAATTTTTTTGCAGCATTTCATTATTTGAATAGTCCATGCTATTTAGTGTGTCTCTTTGTTCCAATCCTTATCCTCAGGTACAAAATCCTGTTGGCAGTCAGAAAGTCTTAAGAGCATCTGATTAGAATCAGCCTCACAGTTTTCTGTACCTGAGTTAAGCAAGTTGACGCATTGCAACTTTCTAAATGTTCTATGGAACTGTATGGCTGTGGGGTTAATGCAGTTACCGTTTTCACTTCTTATTTTACCGAAATGATTCTCCAGGCAGTCTTGGTTTAATCTTCGTGTAAGTATATACTCAAACCCAGCATTTTCTCGAAGATAGTAAAATAATTGAATAATACTGTTGATTGAAATTATTAAGCTTTTAATAAATTTTATTTTGTTGGCAACGTTTATATTATTTTTGTCTCGAATTTCAAGACTTTTAAAAAAGGACAAGCAATCCATTAAAAACTCTAATTGAAATGAGTTTGCTTTAAAGGCAGCATTATATTTTTTTGAGGCAAAGGTTTGCGAAGAATTTAAAATATCAAAGAGTTGATCTACTCTATTAACAAATTCAGCAGTTTCTGTCGCTTCCGAGGGAAGGGAACCAAATCCTATATAAAAACTCATACCTACATGGACTGAGTAACTAAATACTTGGGTGGCAAGTTTGACCTTCATTTTTTGGAAACTAGTCGGGTAAATATGAGAATCGGTTAATTTGTGTGCTGCTTTAACAGGAAATTTTTTATCTAATTCATAGAAGTCTTTAATATATTGCCACGAAATTTTTTTACAATTAACATAAAAGTCATATTTCATTAACATATTTCTCATCGCTTTAATAATATGTGGCACATCAAAGATGAAAAAGAGATACCGGTTTTCTAAATAAAAACCAGTATTGTCTGGAGATATCTTTAAAATATTTGACAATTTGATATTGTTGGACCCCATATCACAAGTAACTGCACAAACATTTAACCCCACATTTGTTGTTTTTTGCACAGCTTCATTTAATAGTTTATGTAATAGATTAGCAGAACAAGAAGTATGACATAAAAAGTAGGCTATCGGCTGTTTCCATTTCGAATAAATTCCCCTTACCATAAGTACACTGACAGTTAAAGTTGGTTTAAAAATCTTTTCCCCTGTATCGCCCATTGCTAGCCCTATGATATCATCTTGATTTCGTTCATAAAATACATTTGCTTTTATTGACATTTCATCGAAGCACAATAAACAATATTTGCTTTGAGACTGGAAACTGTCAACTTTTTTTTTTAATAAAATGAAGAACTCGGGATTATCTAATCCTGGTCCTATCTTAACTGCTCTGATTTCTTTTAGCAAAGTGTTAGGCGAGGGAAGGCTATATTTAGACATTAAATATTTTTTATAAACTCTGGGACCAGCAAAATATATTGATAGGCATTCAATTTTAAATTCTTTGCTGTAACGTCTTCCCTTTGGATGTTTATGCCCCTGTGATACTTGCATATTAACACATTTTGCAATGTCTGGATTGCAAAATTTACATGTTAGGGACATATATTGCTCCAAAGATATATTGTCCAATTCATTATTTTTTTCAAGTACCTCAACCCTTTGTCGTAAATATTTGTTTTCGGCAGTTATGGACTTGATATGCTGCCTGTATTTAACTTTTCTTGGTGTATCGAAGGATAAACTGGCAGACGTTTGGGTAAATGTTGGAGACGTCAGAGGAGGACTGTCTGTAATTGGACTCAGGGCGATCTCATGTTGAACCTCGATTTTGAGCTCGGTTTCAACTAGATTTGTCTGGTTAGCTGCAAAAATACATTTTATTTAAACTTTAAATAACAACTTAGATGAATAAGTATAAAGAACGATTTATTTGCTTAAAATGATTTTTTTTTATTTAGGGCGGATCAAAAGCTATAACAAAATTTTACAGCTAAAGATAATCATGTGATTATTAGCTTGTTTTAAAAAGTTAAAAAATAAAAAAGTTGTAGTCTTTTAAAAGTGGAACAAATTAGGTTCACCCCTCGCTTCACCCCGTATATAAAACATTATATTTAATTTTAAGTAAAACACTATTATTTTTAGTACCTGAATCAAATAGTGCAGGTGTGATAGGTGGAGCTATCAGTCTGTCATCTAGAACTCGTATTTTCGCAGGAAGTTGCAAGAGCGGTGCACTATACGTATGGTCTTCAGTTGTGGAACTCCCCTCGAGGGACGGGAATAGGGTAGGAATTGCAATGGCTAGTAATCTTGTACGAAAGTGACTCGTGAACATCTTCTCTTCAAAGTGGTCTTCACATATCGAGTAACTTTTATATAATTCGATTAGTTTTTCAAATAGGTCCTCTCGATTGGCTTTCATTGCCCATGTTCTGGCTCTGTAAATATTTAAATATATATCCAAAATAAACTAAGAGAAATATATTAATAAATTCCATTAAAATATCATTACCGGGATTATCTCACAGAAAACTAAGAACAGGTAAAGAGATTTAATTAGGCTACTTATTAATATCTAATTGATCACTTAAGAGGATATTTAAATTTTTAAATCAATTTATTTCAAGTGTTTCTAATTGGTTTAATTTAATGCCTTTATTATCAAAATGTGAAACAATTTTTGCATAAACGATTGATTTTCAGAAAAAAATATGTTTTGTAGAATTATTTTTGTTTTTAGTATAACTATTGTAATGTTTTAAATAGCTTTTTTTTAAACTACGGCCCGTTTGACCAATATACAATTTTTCCACAATTTAATTTATTTGAAAAAGGATAATTTCCTGACCGTAACAGAATTTTATATAAATACCGAACGGAAAGCGGTAGAACAGCCTTAACCTAAAGTCGGTTTACCTAAAAATAATGATTTTTTTAATTGACTATAGAATTATGTACTAATAATAACACTAAGCAATATGTATGAACAAGTATCATTTACTATTATCCATTTATTTTATGTCTTAAAATATACGGACCTCTGGTTTACAACTTTCTGGGTAAGCTACCAATTCTATTCATCCGTAGGCGTGTTAGTAGCATTATAAATGCGCATCCTTGGTTCTTTAGATCTGGCGCATACTGTATCTATTTGCTTCCAATTAATATTTGTTGATATTCATATTTTATTATTTCGATTTGCAAAAATATTAAACAAAACCACCAATAAACCCTCTTTTACCTTAACAAGTATTAAATTAATAACTATATATTTATACAGGCCAAACATAGCTTCTCATAATTAAAGAAGATTTTGTATGACTTTAAATTACTTTTACTACAACATAACAAATAATCGAAAGTTTACTTTTCATCAAAATATGCAAAAAATATCGTGTAGGTAAGTACTTACCGGTTAGCATCCTTAGGAAAACAATAGAATTTCTTCTTACAATTATAACCTTTATTAAAACAATTTCGCACTGCACAAACATGATGATGTCCTGATAGTTTTTTGTCACTCATTTTACTACAGTAAAAAATAAACATAAAACACAAATGTTCAAAAGAATTACAAATTAAACACAAAAATATACGCACGGCTATGTCCGCTTAACGTAAAATAAGTAATACCGATCTCCCGACTGCACGGCAAAGACATCTTTTCCCCGAAAAGGCGGAGCATAAAACCTGCGCGAAGGGATCGACGCAAACCGTTCCCGCCAAGAGAGTGTTCTAGCTGGATATGAATAAGCTGTGCTAAAACTTCACGTTTAAACAGCCAAATCGCCTGCGAAATTCAAACTGGTTAGAAAATAAAGCCGGTGGTTAAATCTTCCCCATGGTTGGATCATTCCCAGTTAAAATTCTTTTTTAATATTTTTTACATAATTTTTTATTTTTTAAATAATCTATTTCGATATGGAATCGCATTTTCCCCAAAAGTTCCTATTAACTATACATGAATTTTGCTTCGTTTTCGAGATATAATTTAAAAACTGCAAGGGTTGCATTTTCACCCCTATTTCTAATTTCCACCCACTAATTCAATAACACTTCGCGGTTTTTTAAATTTTTAAAGGCAATTTAAACGATTCATGGGAAACTCATGAAGGTGGTCGTTCCTTTCTATATGACACAATCAATAGTCTACAAAAGAAAGTTATTAATCTTTAAATTTTGATAATTAAACAAAGGAATATTCAATTATTTTTAAGGTGGTCTATAGAGGTCGGATATAATGATAATTTTTAAAATATTATTTATTATTCAGGAAATACTTATCAAAAGGATATGGTTGCACACGTTTGATAAATAAAATAATTAAATTTACCAATTGATAATTTTATTTGTAAGAAAAAATATACTAATATAAAAAAATGCTTAAAAAAATAAAACCTATTTTCTACACGTAAACTAACAATTCCTAGAAAATATTAAGTATTAACAATAGATCTTTGTTCCGTTTTGTATTATTTTTCTTAAGTGCTTGTTCGTAGTGATAAACATGTAACTAAATTTTTACAAATTATTCTTATTTATATTAAATACAAATCATTTAGAGAAGAATTGTGTTAAAGCAACAAATCATTAATTTTTGAAATTTTGTCGTACATTTTCAATATTTTTGGATGGTATAAATTAAAACATTGTCAAATAATGAGAAAAGTTTGCAATCATACATATCACACAGTGCTCGCTATATATTTAGCTTCACTTTTTTTTATAAAAAACCATAGGTATTCTTATTTTTAGAAATCCTAATGCACACATCTAAATAATCTAGAAGACACACTCAATATTGCTATAACTTTTAAAGAGAATCTCCTTATTTGTTAACAAAAAACAAGATATTTTTTGATGTTCTGCGAGGTATACAGGATGTCAATTTTAAAACTTCCCATTGACAATATCTCCAAATAAAAAAAAATATAAAAAATTGCTTAAAACAGGTAGATCTTTATTCAAGCGGAACACCTTTCTATCATCTATCATATTCTCAAATTTCATTTGTCATTCCCCTCCCCTTCGTCAGACTAACCAGTTAGGCATTCCAAACAAAATTGCTGTCAAAGAGCTTTGCCATATACAGGGTTCATTAACAATGGGACACAGAACATCTAAAGATTTTCTCATTAGAAATAGGATGATTAAACGAAACATGCTTACATAAAATATTATTGGTTTCCGAAATACAGGGTCTTAAAAATGAAAATTCAAAAATTCTTAATGGCTATATTTTTTTATTTCTCGGTATAATTTTACTAAATTTAAAGTCCTAAAATACACCTACCAAAAAAATAAACTTTGCCAGTGGCGTACATTGACAAGTAACACATTAATTTCTTTTAAATTTTACGCAACTACCCAAAAATATATTTGGACTATAATTTTGAATTTTTTGATGTTTTTTAAATAAATGTACTTACCCTTGTTGAAAATTTATAAAAATCCAAAAAATTACAAAATTAATAAATAAATTAAAATGAAGAAAATCCACCTATGAGTGTTCCCAACAAGAGTACGTGATTTACTTAAAAAACATCAAAAAATGTAAAAGTGTAATCCAAATAAGTTTTTGGAGTGGCGTAAAATTTAGAGGGAAGAAGGAGTTACTTATCCATGCCGTACGCCACTGGCATAGTTTTTTTAGTCGATTGTTTTGCTGATAGGTGAATCTTATAATCCGAAAAACGTTTATCGAATTTAGTAAAATTATACAGATTAAAAAATTATAGCTATTAATAATTTTCATTTTTAAATTTACAACTTTATCACCCTGTATTTTGGAAACCAATATTATTTCATCTAAGCATGTTTCGTTTAATCGCCCTATTTTTAATCAGAGTATCGTCAGTTGTTCTGTGTCCCATTCTTAATAGATTGATTATATTATGTTTTTCAAAATTCCTTAAAACCTCATGCCATAAAGTAAAAATGTAAGTTATTATTTTTTACTAATTTAAAGGTTGAAATTTGGTTTTAAAACATGTGATCCGCTTTGGTAAAACTATATAATTATACAGGGTGTCTCATTAGTGCGTAATTGCTCGACATTTCAATTTGTATTATAAACACGCAAACAAGTTTTAAATAAAAGTTATATGGAATTGAAAAAGACATATTTGAAAAATATTTTTGGATATACTGTCTTAAATATGGCCAATTTTAATGTCAATTTACTTAATTTCTTTAAATACATCACCCTGTATTTTATTTTAGTGAAAAATTCCTTATAAATATTCATATCCAACAATACCAACATGCTAGCCAATTATACATATACAGAGTGTTCCATCAATGCCTAATTGATCGATGGATGTTCTATTACTGTAAATACGAAGAACTTTTTAATATAACAGTTGTATGACCATATTTAACAATTATTCTTAAATATACATGGTGATCCATATTTGATTATTTTTACATTATCAAACAATTTTAATAGACTTAATTCGTTTCCTATGTTCTGTATAGGGTGTGTCAAAATGCGAGGTTACGATTTTATCAATTTTTTAAATGGAGTACCCTGTATACGACTAATTTATTTATTTTTTATTTTTTTGTCATTCCCTGTAACAATGGTTTATATTCAGTGTTGTTCCTAAGGATTTTTGAATTGTACAACTATCAGTGTCAAAATTGCACACTTTTACTTGCCTTTACGTTCGATTGTACAACAACTAATTAATCTTCTTCTTTTTTATTGACAGACTATGGCCTACTACTTCCCGATGCTTAAAATTTTTATTTTTTCCAGTTTAGAATATATTTTCGATGTGAAACGGTATACTGATTGGTCGATTAAACTTTCATTTTTTTTATTAATTTTAATGCATGCTATTTAACGAATCATAAACTTTTTGAGCGAAGAAAACCTTTTATATACCCGATTTTACAGAAATATTTAGCTACTTCAAATTGTACAACAATTGTCTTTTTTCAAAAGTGCGTACAACAGTACAATCGCATAACTGATTGTACAACTTTTTGTACAATTGTACAATCAGGAACAATACTGTTTATATTACTTGTGAACATGGGCGCCGCTACAGGACAAGCTAGGGGGCGTCTACCCCTCCCTGAATTTGTAATTTTTGATTCTTTCACCATGCTTTCCACTATAGCCTGCGGCGTTTTGACCCTGCCTATAAGACTTGCCCTCCCTTGGAAATTTTTGAACGGCCTCCATGCTTGTGACGTGCATTATTTCTGAAAAATGGAGTGACAAAAATTTTAGGCGCTTGCTTGACTCGTTTGCTTTTAATTGTCATAAAGTTGACTGAGTTTTACCTGTAATTACCAAGATGTTTTAAACTCTGTAACCTAGAGCTACTGATGACAATAAGGAAACATTTTTATTTTCAGAAGAATTAAGTTGATAGGATTGTTATATTTGAAAAATTGTGAAAATCAATTATATCTACCCATTTGTAGTTTTGTAACTGGCCAATTAGAATTAGAAAAATGTTAATTCTTATAATAAAACCATCAAAATCTTGTGAAAAAATGCGTTTGTGAATAAAGAATGCCAAACAAAATAAATTTATTTATAAGTTGGTATTGCATTTGAAAAAATGGAAAATATAATCTCGTGTTTAGTCACACAATGTATACATCAAATAAAAAACATTTTAGGAATTTTAAGTCTAAATTGTTTAACGATGTAAAACAACTAAACCTATTGTCCAGATGGTTTGATCCAAAAAAGTATAAGTTGTTAAATATGTTCTGAAACAGTATCATTATGCAAACATGCCCAATAAAATATCTCAACAAAATAATAATACAATTCAGTTCAAAAGTTATAGATACGTAGTAATTTTTGGTTTTGTTTCCTAGATTATTTTAATATGTATAGGTACGATATCATTGTATAGATCAGTGGTCGCCAACCTGTCGATCGCGAGCTACCGGTAGCTCGCAGAGGTGATTCTGGTAGCTCTCACAACGATTTTAATTTAAAAAATACAGACTGCAAAAATCAAAGAAGCTTCCGAAAATTCCACAAAAAAATCTAATTGTCATAATATTAAACATAAACAGCGGCAACGTTGCGGTGAGCGATCTGCCGCTGACGCCATCAAGCTAGAATCGGCTAGAACCGACCAACCGGACCAGCGCGTTAGTGTTCGAGAACGATCAGGATTGCTTTGAACGGGATAGATACGCACGGCGCGGCGACATTGCGCTTAGTTTAAAACTGAACGCGTAACCAACGTCCAGCGGTTGGGTTAGTAGAGAACAACAAAAAATAATATTATGGCAAGCAGTTGTAAGAAGGTAAAGACATACCACTTTCATTCGGAATGGGAAGAACAATACTTTTTTACAGAAGTTAAAGATAAAAATGTGTGTTTGTTATGTAATACTTCGGTCTCCATTGCTAAAAAAGGAAATATTGAGAGACATCATAAAACTGTACATTCTAATTTTGAAAAATCATTCCCACTACATTCTGTCGCCAGAAAGGAGAAACTGAAACAGTTAAAAAAGCAGTTAATTGGACAACAATCAATATTTTTAAGAACAGTCGACAAAAATAAGGCTGCAACTGAAGCATCGTACCATGTGTCCCAGATAATTGCACAAAAAAAGAAACCTTATGAAGACGGGGAAATGATAAAACAGGCGTTTTTAGAAGCTGCTGATTCGTTATTTGCTAACTTTAGAAATAAAGACGAGATAGTTTCAGCTATAAAATCTATGCAACTTTTTGCTAATACAGTGATGAGACGTGTAGAAATAATGAGCAATAATATTTTTTTTACAATTAAGAACTGACTTAGATAACTGTGTTTATTTTTCACTTCAACTGGATGAATCAACAGATGTCGTTGATACTGCCCAGATGGCCGTGTTCGTCAGGATGGTTTTTAGTGATTTTACGATTAAAGAAGATCTTTTGAAGTTTATTCTACTGAAAGGACACACTACTGGACGGGAGTTGCTTTCTCATTTAAAAAATATTATTTCTTTCGAGAAAATTCCAATATCGAAAATGGTAGGCTTGACAACCGATGGCGCTCCAGCTATGGTGGGTTATGATAAGGGTCTGGTGGCGTTATGTCGTAAAGATGAAACTTTTCGGCAATTTCTCTGTTACCACTGCATTATCCATCAGCAAGCATTATGTGGAAATTTCCTGAAACTAAACAACGTTATGAAACTGGTGGTAAAAATTGTGAACAAGATTAGAGCTCAAGCGTTACAAAGAAGATTATTCAAAACCTTGGTCGATGAAGTTGACTGTCAATACGGGGACCTACCCTTCACTCTGAAGTCCGATGGTTAAGTAGAGGACGGGTGCTGAAACGTTTTAATGATGTCCTATCTGGCATAGTTCAATTTTTCAAACAACGCGATGAACCGACTCCGGAACTAGAAAATTCAATCTATCTTAGATATTTTGGTATTCTCGTGGACATTACAGAGAAATTAAACGAACTTAATTTGCAGCTTCAGGGGAGAGACAAAAAACTAGCGGAAATGATATCTGATATAAAAGCATTTATCAAAAAGCTGGAGTTTTGGGAACAAAACCTAATTAACAGCGATGCCAAGCATTTTTCTATTCTTTCAGAAAAAATATCTCAAAATCAATTAGAACCCTATGACAGCAAATATCATGTAGAAATAGTTTCTACCCTGAAGAATAACTTCAAAAATCGTTTTAAGGATTTCAACGAAATGACTTTAGTAGCGCAGTTTGTTGTTTCACCCTTTATGAAAATTGATATCCAACAGTTTGCAACTTGTGTTATGTAGAACTTTAGCGAAGACATCGCTGCAACAGAAATGCAAGTAATTGAGTTTCAAAATGATTTAGCCTTAAAATCGTTAGTCTCAAGTACCAAATGTATCTGGCCTATTGTAAGTAAAGACAAATATTCAGTTCTATGCCGTGTTGCCTTGAATGTGAAAGCATTATTCAGTTCAACCTATTTGTGTGAATCTTCTTTTTCCAATATGAAGTTTATTAAGAACAAATATCGCAATCGACTTACAGATGAACATTTGGATAATTGTATTCGAATGGCTGTATCTAATTATACTGCAAACATTAAAAAAATTATCGATGAGTCTGAGTGTCAGCCTTCTCATTGAACGTGCTTTTTTATTTTTCAATGTTTATGTTCATGATAGTACGTTACTTTTTTGTTGTTATTATTAAGTATTTTTAAATCTTACGTGACATGCCGTTGTGGCTGGATAAAAGTTTGTGTTTATTTTTCAAATACCTTCGTTTGGTAGGTAGGAATGTAGCTATGAACAAGTACATACTAGTAATATTAGTCATTTTGTTATTAGTTTATTATTAGTACCAATGTATTATATATTACTAGTTAAATAGTAAAATAAATACATATTATGATAAATTAACTGTGGATTATTTCATTTACGTTGCTTTACGTGGCTTCCGTGTGGGTAGCTCGCTGTTTATTCCAAAATTAACAAAGTAGCTCAACACATTGAGAGGTTGGCGACCACTGGTATAGATACTGTGCCCTTGGACCACATTTTTACAATATTTTTTAAGTTTATCTAATATATCTAATGATTTACTTTTTGTAAGGTATTAGATTAGAGTAAGTTATCGAAGCAACACTCTTTAAATAAAGTATGCTGGTTATATCACATTGGAGACCTTAGGAAAAATATTTCAACATCTTTGTGAGCTCTAAATTTAGTGAAACATTCAATAAACTAAAAATGTTCTACTTACTCTAATTATAAAAATAATTCAGCAAAGTTAAAACATTTAGGAACAATTTGTAAAAAGTTTTTAGCTTTTTAAAAAGTCAATCTTAAGTACATGATTGTAGTTATAGTGGGACAAGCGGGACAATTGGTGGGTCTCTATTTGTTGGTATAAAGCGGGCCCATCTTTCGAGTGGCAAATCGTTGGCTTCACCGTTGTCTTCATCATCGATGGTGTTACCTTTAATTTCTTCCTCATCCATATTTTCTGCACCATCAATATCAATAAAATTGTTTTCTTCGGAATCTTCTCTGTAAAATGCAATTTATTATTTCAGGGCCGATTCCACCGTTGTGTTACACGGAGATTAAAATGACATTGTTAATGTAAAACTGTCATTTTAAACTCGGTCATGAGCGGTCTAGTTTCAAACTGTATAATCTCAATAAGTAGATTCGTCATTGCCGCGGTGAAACCTCCTATGTGCCAAAAACTTTATTTAGCGTAGGAGCTAAAAAACTGTTTTGTTTTGTTCCGTTTTGTCTACGATATTGTATCTTTGATTTAACACGTTGAAGACCGCATTGAAAAATCTTATTTCTCACATAGACATTATTTAACCCTAGATTTATTTCAATTAAAGTACCCACGGGTGATCACCCGATCTCAACGTATAAATTTACTTTCGTAAACCTCATGCCCACCGGTAAGTCAGTTTGTCTTGCACATTCTAGTTTTGACGAAACTAAATAAGTTGTAGCACAAATATTGAATATAATACATATTAAAAGTTGTGTTCTAAATGATTTTTTAATTTACCTCGAAAATCTTAAAAACTCGTTAATTTTGTTTGATTTAAAAAAAAATCGTTTTTAAATGAGACTATGTCAAATTAACTAAGTCCGCTATATGCAGTATCTCTTCGAGGGACCAGCGAATGTACTACTGTACATAAATTGAATTTAAATCATGCCCACCGGTGTACAAGCGGTCCCCAGGGCTCGATTATCGAGTTCATTGGAAAATTTTCCCATGGGAAAAGATTCCACTACTAAAGATATTTTCAAATTTACTGTTGGCATTATTTGTATTTGTTATGGTTTTTGGGTAACTGACTACCTGCCGAGTCTCCGCGCTGGAGCAGGTGTCGTAGCTTTTGTATGGTAGAGCAACGAAAGTTTCGAGAAACTAAGAAATTCTATCGTTAACGGAAATAATAAAATTTTCGAAAAGGTCTTGTTAAATTTATTACAAATTTCTCAATTTGTGTTATTTGCCAGTCTCTTATAGCAGCTCCCACAATTTCTAACTGATTTAAGAAAATCAGTTCATACAGTTTCTTAGTGAAAGAGAAGTAAAAATAATATACCTACATAAATAAAATAATATCAATCTATAAATACGCCAAAAAAATGTTTTAACTACAATTTCACCAAAAATCCAAGATATCCAATAATCTTTGGTTATTATTTTGTCAAATTTTCGACTTTGATGCGCAAACTCTAGTACAATTCCCATTGGAAAACACAATTTCCAATGCTCGTAAGCAGGGGAATATTTTCCCATACTTCTCATTGGAAAATATTCCACCGCTTATGTCGAGAATACGAAAACTGAATTCCCATGGGAAAATTTTATTTTCCTATATATATATATAGGAATTTTTGACATTTTTCTATACATAGAAAATTTATGACATTTTCCTACATATAGGAACGTGTCACAAATTCCTATAGGAAAAGGTTCCTACAAGTCGAGAATCGACCCCCAGGTAGGTAAAACATTTCGTGTGCCCACCCGTGAGCACGCCGGCCGGTAATGTTGTTGCTAATTAACTTACATTACATCTGTTCTCTTTTTATAAAATTTACATAACCTGAATATTAGAAAAATACTAATAATTTGAATAAGAGCCACATAGGATATTTCCAGCGATCAAAAATAATTCACATAGGAGGGTTGAAAGAGTTAATCGTTGGTGTATTTTTGTTTTTTAAAACGTATTATACAAAGAAATATGATATGAATAACCAGGGTCGTAAATTAACAAAACCGGAGAAAATACTAAATACAAATAAATATTTTGATTTTTTATTAATACTTCCCTTATCAGACTTATAAAATAATAAAATTGCGTACAAACTAAAAGTTTTATAACTCGAAAAAGGTAGCATACATTTTAAATATTACAATTTTTACAGAACAAACAAAACATTCTTTTTGTTCCATTTTTTCTTTCTCATCTTTTTTAAACGGGAGGTTGTCATAAAACGCATGATGGTCAGTGTCCATGACGGACTTAAGTTGTAGCTGCTTATATTTTGATTCCGCAATTGGTAGGCGTTCTACATACAGGGGGTTTGGAGAATTTTTATAATCAAATCGTCCTCTTCGTTGAGGCAATGTTTTGTATTCAGCTAAGTGGTCAGTCTTATACAAAATCGGACCATCTGGTAAATACTGGATTGCACGAATATCAGTTACTACGGGATCACTGGGTTTATTTCTACCAGGCCGAAGTGAAGTTAGATTAGATTCAACGTTTTCATAGTTCCTAAAAAATGTGTAGTCGACTACATGAACGTTATACGGTTGAGCAGGACGTGCAACCCTCATTTTGGCAACATAATCTTGGAGCATTTATTGAAGGCTTAAAATATTTATCAAGTGTAGCATGAACGCTGTCAGCCTCCATCATAGTGTGTCCTTTTTCTAAATATAGCTGTTCAATAGTAATGTTTTCTTTCACTGCAGCATCACTGAGTGCACTAGATAAGATTCTATTCCGGTTTTGATGGGCACATCCATCCGATATTAAAACAAAGTGTGTATAGTTTTTGCTGGCGTTTGAAATAAAGTTTATGACACAAGAAGTGAATTCGTTGCAGGTTGGCCTCATGCCAGAAGTAGAGAGTTACATCTTTATTATTAAGTACATAGATGGTAAAATTGTATATTTGAAGTTTTTGTTTATAATATAACTTGGATGCAAGTGTTTTTGGACACAACAATACACTTTGTAAATCCATTGTTAGGACTAATTTGCTATCACTGCAACTATCTTTGGCTGAGTTCTTTGCTGCGCGCGCGTCGTTTTTTTCTAAGATGATCTTGATATTCTTCTTCAGAAACTTGTTTTGACTTGTAGGAACAGCACACGTCACACTGATCTTTACGAGGCATATGGATAGCGACATTTTGTTTGGATAAAAACCGTTTAAAATAGGTTTTTCCTTCAGCCGTTACATTTTGCTCTGAACACCAATCTTTGTAATAATAATAATAATAATAATAATAATAATAATAATAATAATAATAATAATAATAATAATAATAATAATAATAATAATAATAATAATAATAATAATAATAATAATAATAATAATAATAATAATAATAAAAATAATAATAATAATAATAATAATAATAAAAATAATAATAATAATAATCCTCTCCCTAATTCGCCCCCTTACGAGTGAATTTCAACCCCTGAAGTCGACTGAACGACTTGTGTAGGGGAAGGGACGGCTATTATTATTATTTGCCGTGGCGCTCCGGGGCGACTTAAGGATGATTGATGGTGCCATTTGACTTACAGGTGAGGAAAACCCGGAAAACCTCACCCACCATCATCGAGACGATAATGTATGGTGATTTTATAATCTGCATGTCATATCAACGGAAATTGAATTTCCATTAATACGGCAAACATCAAATCCTAAACCGAACTATGCAATTTAATTAAAAATCCACATGGTCTGGTCTGGGATTCGAAGCCCAGCAGTCTCGGACTCATAAACTCGCCTATAAATGAATATAAGCGCGATAGACCGCTACACCATCGACCCGATAAACTTCATGAAGATGTTTCGTAGACCTAAATATAGATTCCAAATACAATTTATTTGATGTTGCCCTACAGTAGTGACTGGGAACTTTTGGTAATGCGCTTAACCAATATTGAATATTTTCAGCTAGGTCAGGAGCTTCTTTTATTGTTTGTTTTGATTTTTTTGGTAAAGGCTCATCCGGTTCTTCTATTTCTTCGGACGAAACTGTCGACTCACACGAAGGATCTCCTTTTACCCATCTTTTAAACGTGTCTTCCCCTAGATACAAAGTTTTAATAAAGAACTTACGACACACTCTAACTTTTGTACCATCTGCTTTTGGCATAGGAATATCGTGACCTTCATTTTTTTCTTTTTGTTTGTTCTCAATTTTCCTTCTTCGTATTATTTTTCTAGTGGCAACCAGTCCCTTAACAAACATCCTCTTCTCTTTCCAACTATACTGCCAAAATTGTTTAAATATTTTCTGTCGATCTTTGTCCGTGAATTGTCCACACAAAAAACTTCTTTGCGATTTTTGCTCTAAACTTTTGTGGAGACATCTTTCCTTAACATTTCTAGCGGATTTTTGCACATTTCGTGTAATATCATTGCCCTTTTTTTTACATCCCTTATAAGCTATGCCCAAAGAACGTCGGTTTCGTTCTGTTTTTAATATCTGATAGGCGGAACAAGTAGTTGCAGGGACTGTCGGGACACAAGAATTATTACCCGGTACTTGTTCTTCATTGTCTTCAGCGTCCTGTTGAGCAGAGTCAGAAGGAGGAGAAAGAGCGGTATTTACTATATTTTCCTCTGGTTGATTTTCATTACTAATTTCGCTATCATCTATATCAATGTCAGCAATTGTATTATTTGGAAAAAGTTGTACGGCATTATGTGGATCACAAGTTAATTGGTACATACTGTTTTCTGCTGTGATATGTGTTACGTATAGAGGTGGAGTCGGAGGAGAGATCTGTTTCGTTTTCTATAATATTATATTTTGTACTAACCACATTTTCGTAACTTTCGCTTTTTTCAATATCGCTTTTTCCAGAAAATACAAGTTCCAACTGAGTACAATCATCCTGTAAATTAGAATCTGGAATTATGGGGGCCACAGGCTCCGTCAGAACCTCATTAATAACTGAACTAAGTTCTTCATCGAGTTGGTATACTGTTAAGTTGGTTTGATTTTTCCATTCATATGTATCAGAATTATTAAACACTGTCGATAATGTTATCGGATTCATTTTGGTGTCAGGCTCTGCTCTATCAGTAATAACTTGTGAATATGGTTCGATAACATTAATATTAGTAACAGGCTGCACTATAGAAAAAGAGGTATCTGATAACTTGAGACATGCTCTTACTAGTTTTTGCCCACGTGACATTTTCTGTTCTAAAAAAAAAAGCTTACTTTAGTTTTACTTTTACAGTTTCTCAAAAGTATAATAAGAATAACGAAAAGTCTAGGAAATCTAGGACATCTGTTTCAAATGTTAATGCAATTTAAAAAGCGTCAAAATATTGTATTTTCTGGGAATGTCTCGTTTTCGCCCCGGGCAAGGTAATTAAACGTCCCGCGTTTATTGTCCAGGATTTGCTGCTTTTTTAGCCATAGTCCCGTTTTAACATAAAACTAAAATCTGGCAATCCTAGTCGGTACAGTAAAAAGGTTAAGAAACAATGATATAGGGTAACTACGAGGGCGGGTCAATAAGTCCGTGACTTTTTGAATTTCCCGCCTCTTAATTGAAATGGCAACAGTGCTCCCGTCAACAGTCATCTGTCTGTTGACTCTTGTCAAAAATTGAAGAAGCTGCGACATTTAGTTTGTTTTTGACAGCCGTTAATATTAGACTACCTCGTTGACTGAGAAGAAAATAGAAAAAAGTAAATTTCGTGTGCTCATAAAGCATTATTTTTTGCGGAAAAAATCCATTACGCAAACCAAGGCTAAGCTTGATAAATATTATGGGGACTCTGCACCATCCATTTCCATGGTAAAAAAGTGGTCTACTGAATTCCGATGTGGCCGTACAAGTACGGAAGATGCCGAACGTTCTGGACGCCTAGTTGAGGTCTCCACATCGGAAACAATTGAAAAAATCCACGATATGGTTTTAGCCGATCGGCGATTAAAAGGGAGAGAGATTGTGGAAGCCATAGGCATCTCACATGGCTCAGTGGTTTCAATTTTGAATGATCATTTGGGTATGAGAAAGCTTTCCGCAAGATGGGTGCCGCGATTGCTCACAATCGACCACAAACGCAACCGTGTGACAATTTCGCAGGAATGTTTGGCGTTGTTCAGTCGCAATATAAACGAGTTATTGCGCCGTTTCGTAACCGTGGACGGAACGTGGATCTATCACAACACACCGGAGACCAAACAGCAGTCAAAACAGTGGGTTTCTCGGGGTGAATCGGCGCCAAAGAAGGCAATGGTGGGTTTGTCAGCCAATAAAGTCATGGCGACTGCTTTTTTGGATGCACGCGGTATTATCCACATTGACTACCTTCAAAAAGGAAAAACAATCAATGGTGAATATTACAGCAACTTATTGGGTCGATTCGATGAGGCATTGAAAAAAAGCGACCGCATTTGGCCAAGAAAAAAGTCCTTTTCCACCAGGATAATGCACGGGTGCACACATGTGCAGTTTCCATGGCAAAAATCCATGAATTGGGCTACGAATTGCTCCCTCATCCGGCCTATTCACCCGACCTAGCCCCGTGTGACTATTTCTTGTTTCCGAACTTGAAGAAATGGCTCGGCGGAAAGAGATTTGCCTCCAATGACGAAGTCTTCTCACAAAGAAATACCTATTTTGAAGACCTCGACAAATCATATTTTTCGGAAGGGATAAAAAACTGGAGAAACGTTGGGCTAAGTGTAAAGAGCTCAAAGGAGACTACGTTGAAAAATAAAATAACTTTTTATCTAAAAACCTGTGTTTCATTCAAAAAGTCACGGACTTATTGACCCGCCCTCGTACTTCTTTTCATAAAACAACGCTGCTAGATGTAATATTATTAGTGATATTATAGGTTTTCCTTTTTCTGCTGCCAATAGTTGGCTGTTTGTTAAAAAAAATAAATAAAACATAACCGGGTCTTAACAACCTATTTTAAAATTTATAATTTAATCTGTACGATTTATTCCTTGTAAATTAACGGATTGTAATATTCATTACTACTTACTTTTAACCCTGTTTTTGTTCTGCACTGTTATTTTCTACTTCTAGTTGATAATTAACTTAACAAAAGTTTCTGTCAATATTTTTAAAATTATAGAATTATTCTCATTATTTACCTAGGTATTTTTTTATTATCATTATTTACCTAGGGTGAGAAATATTACTTCTCGTTAGGGGAATGGAGTGAATAATAGCAATTTCTCAGGTTAGTAGTAAAAAAAAATAAAATAATTCCTTTTACAATAACAAATCAATGATTTGCCGATCAATAATTATCTCATGTGACAGTTGCTGTGGATGCGAAACCTTCCATGTGCAATATTTCTATCGACCCCCACCACATGCATTCCACATAGGAGATATCTGTGACAGCTGAAATTTCCTAAAGCCGTTCCCAGACAATACGTGTATTCGGCGAATGTGCCTTCGTACTGCGTCTTCGGCATGCCTTCGGTTACCCTCCCACACACTGCGGCATTTGGAAAATGTTCTGATGTTGACAAACGTTCGCCGCAGGGCCTCAGTATAGAACAGTAGCGGAGAGCAGTGGATAATGACGATGAGCAAGCGGCTGCAGTTGCAGCCTGTATAGTAATTTTAATAACAAAATAAATAATATAACACGTCGCTAAACTTGGCGCGACTCTGACTAAAGACAGAATAGGCAATCAACTAGGCGTAGTTGAGCACACTGTCTGGGAGCTAACGCGAATGAGTGCGAAGGCACTTCGTCTTCCTTTGCTGCGTGCCATTTTACCGACAAGACTACGGATAGCAAGCGAATGCTGAAGAATAGGCGCAGTTGAGCTCCCACACACTACGCGGAGGACCGCGTATGCCGAATATTCGCCAATTACACGCATTGCCTGGGGCCGGCTTAAGTGTAATGATTACACATAGGAGTTTTCGTGCGGCAATTTATTTATGGAGAACACATAGGAGATATAAAAATATATTAATTTCAAGATAACCTCAAGATATATCACTTAGGAGGAAAAAAAAAACCAATTAAGTGTAGTGCCTTCCTTCTAAAATTTTAATATTCATTTGAGATGTCATTATCTACAGGGTGTCTGTAAAAGGTCTTTAAAAAACATTTTGTATTTTATATTTTGATAATTTGGAGTATCTGTATTTCTAGCTAAGTGATACGCCCTCTGGAGGAAATTTATAAAAGGTGTTTATTGTTATGTTCACACTGACAAAGTTGGTAGCACTGGTTGTCAGTCAAGACCCAGGCTTGTGTTAGGCATAACGTCTCGAGACCATTCCGTATTGTATCTTAGGTTTAGTGTTGTTGTAACTGTTATGATGTGGATCGTAATTGTCAGCTTTCTTTAGTAAAGTAAAACAGAGACAATACTGATAATACAATTCTATTAATCAAGTAAACTTTTATTACAAACACTGTTATAACAAAATGGCTGCCTATTTAAACGACAAAAGGAAACACAACTTGTAACGACAAACTTCTCGAAATTACTGCTACCTACTACTCGAAATGACACTTGACATTGACATAAGAGAAAATAGGTGACAGTCAATATTACCAACTTTAAAACACTTTAAGCACTGGATTATATTTATAACATTTCCCCTTAATCCAGTGATTTTATAATTCCAAGGGTTTCAACACAAAATTTATGTTTAGGACTATGAAGACCTTTTGTTAAGATATCAGCTACCATTTTATCAGTAGGAAGGTATTCAATCACTATAATACCTTTATCAACAATTTTTCTGATATAATGATACTTGGTATCTATATGTTTTGTCCTAGAATGATAAATTGGATTTCTTATGAGCTTTTGTGCACTTTGGCTATCATTAAAAATTACTAGTGGTTCATTGTGCTTCAAAATCTCATTTAGAAATCCAGATATAAAAACACCTTCTTTAGTTGCCTCAGTTATTGCTATATATTCAGCTTCAGTGCTGGAAAGGGCAACACAAGATTGTTTTCTTGATTCCCAAGAAATAGCTGCATTACTCATTTTAAAAACATATCCTGAATAGGACTTCCTATCATTTACATCATTAGAGAAATCCGCATCAACATAACCTAAAATACTATTTTCTAATTTACAAAAAATTAAAGCTTGATCAATACTTCCTTTTAGATATTTTAAAACTCTCTTTGCATGTTTCCAATGCTCTAAGCTAAAAGAAGTGTTGAACTGGCTTAAATAACTTATGCTATATGAAATGTCTGGCCTTGTATGAACACACAAATACATTAAAGAACCAATCAAATTTTGATAAGGTACATTTGGTTGATCATTACTAGGCTTTAACTTTAAACTTTTACTTCAATAGGAGTATAAACAGTTTTCGCATCCGATAACTTAAATTTGTCTAATAATTCTAAAATATATTCTTTCTGATTTACTTTAATTATATTATTTTCTTTATTTTGTTCAATATTTAAACCAAGAAAATATTTTACTGGACCTAAATCCTTTATCTTAAACTGTTTAGATAATTCCTCTTTGAGGTTAGTTTTTAAAATAGTGCAGTTCGAACAAATCAAAAAATCATCTACATATATGGCGATAATTATAATATTTTTATTTACATTTTTGAAGAAAATACATGGTTCGTAACTTGATTGCTGAATATCTAATTCCAATAAAAGTTTTTTGACCTTTAGATTCCAAATTCTAGATGATTGTTTTAAACCATATATTGCTTTCTTTAATAAACATACTTTATTTTCATTACTTTCAGAAATAAAACCTTCTGGTTGATTCATATAGATTTCTTGATCTATTTCCCCATTTAAAAAGGCTGTCTCAACATCTAAATGGTCAATATTTAGTTTCAACTCAACTGACAAAGCAAATAAAATTCTTATTGTAGAATTCCTAACAACTGGGGAAAAAGTTTCAAGGTAATCTATACCGAATTTTTGAGAAAAACCTTTAGCCACTAACCGAGCCTTGTATCGCACTTCACCATTTGAGACCTTTTTTACACAAAACACCCACTTATTTTTAACAATGCGTCTGGGGGACGGTCGACTAATATCCAAGCTTCATTTTCTAAAAGGGATTTATACTCCCTTTCCATTGCTTCCCTCCATTTTTGTCGATCCGCTCTTGATAGCGCTTCACTTACACTTACCGGATCACCCGTTTCACTTTGATTAAAATAGTTAAGTTTCAAAAACATTATAGGTAACATAATCTTCA